GACAAAGCAGCTTGCTTTGTCGACAGAACTGAATGTAGTCTAGACGCTCTTTGTCGACAGAAGCTTTGTCAACAGTATCTGTTGACAAAACTTCTGTCGACAAAAGCCTGTAGTCTAGACGTACCCAAAGAGATTCTATCCAATAACCACATGTAGCAGGTGAACTTTTAGTCTGAGGCACCTGCCCCTCCTAGAATACTTTCCATCAATAAAAGTTACCTGGAAGAGGATAGAGAGGGAGAGAAGTAACAGAATCTACACCACTCTGTTTGCTGCAAAGATCTGGATTTCCTTGCGTGACAGCAGGTCAACCCATAGGAATCAATGGGAGGTTTACCTGGTGTCTGCTTTACTTGGTGGCCACCTGGTCAACCTCAGGGGCCAGGGCAGAATTTTTTCCAAGTCTGTTCAGGGCACCAGGTCAACCCCGGGTTGGGAGTCGGGGAGACAGGGCAGAAGTGTTTCTAAGTCTGTACAGGGCACCAGGGCCCAACTCTCATTTATCCTAAAGCCACTTAAGTCCAAGTTTTTCCAGTTCAGAGTAAAGCGATGTACTTCACTGCCCCTTGTGCTTTGACTGTGCACCTTCCCCTAAGAAGGTAGGATCTTTCAAAAGCCCAGAATCAGCAAGCCTCTAATTTTAGGATTAATATGGTAGGTTAGAGGGCATTAAATCAGAATCTCCTGTTAAATCTCTCATACATCACAGATATGTAGAAATCTCATGTCTGGATGGTCTCTTCCGCAATAAATCCCAGGATGTTGTGGCACAACCTACCAGTGGTACATATTGAGGCCTGCCCACATAAAAGCTCTGCAGGTTGTACACGTATGATTTTGTTTCAGGGCACAAAAATGAATAAATTTCCTTTCTTCTTTCATAGTACAGCAAAGAGGGGACTTATTAAGAAAACAAAACACGTAGATGGTATCATGAGCTTTCGTGGGCACAAACCACTTCTTCAGATGACCGGAGTGTTGGATGTCCAGATTAGTCTCTAAAGTGCTACCAGACTATCTGTTGTTTTTTAAGTTTATCCTGTACAGACTAACTCGGCTACCCCCTGAAGCTTAAGAAAACAAAGGGAGACCTTAGACATTTGCCATAAACATAGAAAAAACATTCAAAGGAAGCAGAGCTGCCTGACCTGTGAACACCTCAGACGCCAAAAAATAATTAGAGTCTTGGAGGCTGTGCAGTAGAAATAGAAGAAAACACAAAAACTCTGTGTGATTGATAACCAGCCAGTGTTCCCTCTGAGCTGCCCAGCAGCACAGCTTCACAGGTGATTAATCAGCCCTGCCCAGTGAGAGGGCAGCTCCATGCACCAAGCTGACTGACTGGGCGGAGCTGATTAATCACCTGTGAGGCTGTGCTGCCAGGCACCTTACAGAGAACACTGCTGATTGCCAGAAAGGGTTGTTAATTTTATAGGCTGTTACATACAGAGCAATGGCTAGAAATATTAAGGACCCACTGGATTCTTTTGTATTTATTAAAGTCTGAACTATAGAGCTGTATGCACTTGAAAAAAAAGTGAGTTACCTATATAGAGAGATGGGTTCTTCCTAGGGATGTTAAGTAGCAATTGATTTGCTAGTTGAGTAGTCGATGGAATTTCCATTGACTACTCAACTAGTTGTTAGGGAAAGGCTCACTTCCAGGTCTCAGCACAAGCCCCCCCAATTCCCCGGTTCCCACTTTGCACTCAAAGGGACAGAGAGGAGCCGGAGTGCAAAGACGCTGGCTCAGTCTCTGGTCCCCTGCAGGGTCTCAGGACAACCCGCCCCCCACATTGCCACTCTGCATTCTGAAAGTGACAGAGAAGCGACAGCCG